AAGGAGAGTAAAACTGCGTGCACGACATTGTATACAAAAATGTAAAATGATTTTTTTAGATAAATGCTATAATTGTATAAATAACTGTTTAAATGAACTGTAATTTTAAACTTCACAGAATTAGCATTTAGAATTAATGTTAACTAATGAAAAAGAATATAAGATTCCGATGAAGAATAATTATGTTACTTTTTAATATTTAAAGCGAGAAGACTTCAAAATGTTTTAACCTGGGAGCAGGCGCGCACTCGATACTAACGCTAATGGTAGTGCGGGGAGACTTAATCACCCCAATCATTTGTTGATAATTATTTTCACAGTACACGATAAAAATTGGAATTCCAGTGAATAATTTAATTAAGAGAAAGTATACTTACCGGCTTTCAAGGACTTTTCAATTTTTCTTTTATAATTTGAGAAAAAATCCAATAAAACTGCACTAAAATTATTCAAAAGTGGAAGACCATAATAAAGGACGCAAACCAGAGGCAATTTTCACTAATATTACAGGATTGTTATTTGCTGGCAAAGCTGTCATATTTTGTTCAAGTTATTGTAGTTTTAATGAGCTTTCATGATCGAGTGAGTGAATATTAACGTCGCACTGTTCAGCTACACGAGGGCTTTTGGAGACGGACCTCGTAATTTTGAACCATGGTCAAATGACGAGGACGACACTTGAGATGGTCTCTTTTAACTACCACACCACTCCAACAAGAGGACGTTTGAGCTCTCGACAGATTTAACGCGCATCTCTCCCCTACACGGAGGGTCTTTAGTGGTACTGGGCTCGAACTCGTGACACCTTTTGGTGATCAACAAATAGCAAGTTGAACTTTTTCTTTCTTTTGTCATTTTGACAAGGCGAACTGAACCTTGTGGTACACTTATGGCTTCATATTTTAGTTGATGTAGTTCTTTAGGAAGCATTTGAAAATTTTCCTTTCATGTTCACCGCGTTTCTCAATCATGAATAATATGCATTCTTTCAGTAGGTTATTCCTTTACTTGATCAGTTTCAACTTCCTTCAATAGAGATCACAGATGCCCCGTGCCACCGCTCCCGGGTTAAAAGTTTATTCAGAATAAAAATACGGATGTTCGAAAGAGAATTATGACGTTTTTCACTCTCCTTTATATATTTGAGAATACAGATAAGAATAAATCTTGGCCAAATAATCCTTCAAATCAATCAATCCTTTTCCAAATATCATAAAACTCTTTATTATTTACACACAATTTCCCTAAGCGGAAAAAAACAACAACAGAAAAGATGGGACGGAGAACTAATGTAGAACAAATCATACCAGTAAGTTGGAAGGTTAATCAAATGAGATCAGCAAATGTATTATGCTGTCTGGCTGAAAAGTGAATCATATCTTCCTTTTCTTTCCACAACCAATGTACAGTATTTCAATAATTACAGCGATGAATTTTTTATCTTCTTAGAATTTTTCTCAGGGTCTGGGTTTCGTTTTTTCTTTTAACGAGTAATATGTTAAGCTGAAAAAGAAAGCGTAGTAAAAAAATCTCTCATCGAGGAATTACAGCAAATTAAACAAAATGTTGTTTTTTTTATTTGGTTTTGGGATCAATGATAGGCATTTGATGACGGAAAAACAACAGATGATAAACAAATTATATCAGTGTTGTTATGTATTTTTTTTTATTATGGAGAAAGTATTTTGTTTTACTTCTTTCTGGTTATTTTTTAAAAAAAATCTTTAAATTTTCGATATGCTCGCGCCCCCCTTGTAGGGTTATCGCGCCCCCCCAGGGGGCGCGCCCCACATTTTGAGAAACACTGGTTTAGGAAGGTGTTTTCAAAAATCAACTCACAAGATTTACGTGGGGAGTTATAAAGAAAAAAAATCCTTTTTATCAGCTATTAGATCTACACAGACTTAAAATTTAATAATTTTTTTTTGTTCAGCTGAGATATATATATATATATGCAAAAAGCTTTTTTTTTTACTTTGTTTAATTTGCAATTCACGATTGTAATATTATCGCCTATCTTGGCGAACATAAACAACAACTTGGCGCCTAGCCCTACTGTATCAAATTAGCATCCCAGATGGAGTTACGCAGTCTGATAATTAGACCGACGATATGTAAAAGACACAAAATCAAGGAATCCATTTTCCTTCCTGAGAATGATACTTATTCACAAACCAATACCAAAAAATTCAGTATTTTCTATTACTATTTTTTACACTGATAAGACCAGTAAATAAGTGGTTTCGTATATCCTTTCATCTGGGTCATAGATTGTTACCTTTTAGGCAAAGAATCTATCACTTACATTATAATTTCAAGTGAATTTTTTAATATAATTCTTCTCTTAAACTACTCTTCAGGCCCTTTTTGCTTGCCATGGCATGTTTAAGAACAAATATTTCACATTGTACTCGTATGTTTTCTATGAGAATTACGTCTGGAGATCGGGATGGATTTTGTGGTTGCTTGCAGTGGCACTACAAATCTAACTTGAGTTTCTAACCATATGTTTCGTATTATCGTCTTAATGGAAAACGAAGTTTGCTCACGTCTCACTTTATAGGCCCTTTTTCAAAAGTTATTCTTACAGATGTTCAAAGTGTTTCATCAGTAAAGACAAATTCTTCTTTCCCTACTTAGGCTGTTCCGCTCCAAATGAAGGCATACAGCTCTCGGGCTTTTAACTTTCGTAACTTGTCGTTCAGGACCAGTTCTTTCCCAATTTGTATCTATACAACCTCTTCTTTCTTGCAGATTGTTACATTAGAGAACATCTGCCGGAACAACTGCCAACTGGGGGGTGTATTTGGTTTGGCGTTGGCCTTGTACGCCTAAGGTCACGGGTTCAACCCCGGTTCAAGTTGGTGGATTTTCATGATGCAGAAAATCGACAGTGTCCATGTCGTATGATTATGCGGAATGTAAAAGCTCACTTGAGTGCTTCTTTGGCTTGGGGGCTCTCGGCATAATTAAATTCCTAGAACAAGTTCGCACAGTCAGAGCTCAGGTTTCTCCTTCTGGGGAGGAAAATGGGTGACAAAATTACTTGCGGCAATTGGTATCTCCTATATGGTGCCGCACCAAAAAGTGATACCAGTTCGAGGAAATTTCTAGGTCTGCAATGGTAAAAATACTGTTCCGCAGCCCCACAGGAAAAAAAATAAGAAAACAAAACAAAACTTTTGAATTATTCCGACCAGGAAATATAATTCAATTTGTAACGTCTCTCGCGTCCTTCTTCTAACATAACTCCTATGTTCTTTGACGGCCACGATTAATGGCAAAACCTTTCCAACCCAATACCAAGAAGACAAACGAATAGAATATGTAAATGAGATATACTTTAAAAGGATAGAAGCTTTGATGACAAGGAGCGGCAAGTTTAGAGATAACTTAGTGTGGAATCATTCGGATCAAGAGTTAAATGTCCTATAGCTCTGGAATAAGGATACGTTCATATAAAATTAAATTATAGGTGTTACTCAATCACTGAAGGAAGGAGATTCTGCAAAAGGTAATATTTTGTATAGGAAGTTAGATGAATCAGTTAATTTATTATAATTAAGATAAATGATCTAGCTGCGCGATCTGACTTGAATATAAGGTTTAATTGGGTGTTAACTCTCACTTTAAGAAAGTTGTCAATTAGAATTAAGTAATATAAGTTATTCTTAATAAAAGTTGTATTAAGAATCCAATATGTCTCATCATTTTGATAATCCCACACCTCTAGCTTACGCGGATCCCAATAGACATAGTCATCACAGGATGGCTATGTCGCAAATTATGAAATTATCAATTTTCCCCCCCCACATTGACGTAACTAATAAGCAGCTTCCACAAAGCAACACACACAACCATGATATCCTGAATTTTAAACACATTTAACGAGATTCACAGCTCAGATTCTTCTCATATTTGAGGTTATCCAAGTTTTGGGGCTCTTAACTTTGGGTTTCCTTCGTCTTTGTAGTATCACTCAAAATGTTTTGTTGGCTCTCTTTTTGTTCTCATTCTTCAATAATTCTGTAACAACTATCGTTTTTTCAGATTCAGTAAAGATTTTTGAGCAAATTTGTCATCTTTCATCAATTTCACTGAACAATTTTTGGAACTGTGCAAATATTAGTTTCTTTTCTAGAGTTCTTTTCAAGGCATTCTTAGAGTGAATAATTACGCGCAAGCGGCAAAGGCGGTATATTTTTTAAATTCTTCAAGCTTGAATTTGATTGATTGATTGAATATTAACGTCGCACTGTTCAACTACACGAGGGCTTTTGGCGACGGACCATGTAATTTTGAACCATGGTCAAGTGACGTGGACGACACTTGAGCTGGCACCCTCCTCTCCTAACTACCACACCACACCAACGGGAGGACGTTTCACCTCTCGATAGATTTAACGTGCATCGTTGCCCTACACGGCGGGTCTTTAGTGGTACTGGGCTCGAACTCGTGACAAGGCAAGCCACGGTCCAATACCTATACCACTCGGCTACCGCGGCCCTCAAGCTTGAATTTAAAGAACTTTTAAGCTAAATTTGAAACAGGAAAAAAATGATAATAAACTGGTTGATATTTCCAGATAAAAAGTTTATATATTTTTTTATTTCAAAAAAATTGACTAAATTCATTTTTTTAAGTTATGCTTCTTTTGGGGCATTAGAGAAATAGGACGAGGGTGAATTTTTACGATGCGCGATCACGGATGTGACGCACACCGTCACGGGTGCGAAATTGCTTTGTCTAGAAGTATACAGAACGGGCAGATCATTGTCGCCTTCAAAATTCTCAGGAAAATTCTCTTTACTTCCCCGAAGAAGAGGACACCCAGGTTTGAACCGATGACCACTCGATGTGCAGTCGAATGCTCTTTGTGCAGCTTTACATTCCGTAGGAACGGATACGAAAATGCTTTGTCTAGAAATAAACAGAACGGGACAGATCATTTTCGCCTTCGAATTCCTCAAAAAAAAAATTTGTCTTCACTTCCCTGAAGAAGAAGCCACACGGGTTTGAAAACCGAGGATATCTCGATCTGCAGTCGAATGCTCTACCACTGAGCTATACCCCAGCGTCAGCGAACCTTTGCTTTCCGTAGAAACGGGTACGAAAATGTTTTGTCTAGAAACATACAGAACGGGACAGATCAGTCCTTCCTTCGAAATTCTCAAAAAAATATTTCTCCTCACTTCTCTAAAGATGGGGGCTCCCGGTTTTGAACCGGGGAACCATTGCTTTGCGTTTCTAAGGAACGGATACAAAAATGCTTTGTCTAGGAATATACAGAACGGGACAGATCATTCCTTCCTTCGAAATTTTCAAAAAAATATTTCTCCTCACTTCTCTAAAGATGGGGACTCCCAGGTTTGAACCGGGAACCATTGCTTTGCGTTTCTAAGGAACGAATACAAAAATGCTTTGTCTAGGAATATAAAGAACGGGACAGATTGTTCCCGCCTTTGAAATTCTCAAACAAAATATTTCTCTTTACTTCCTTAAAGAAGAGGACACCCGGGGTTGAACCGGAGACCTCTCGATCTGCAGTCGAATGCTCTTCCATTCAGCTATACCCCCGCGTCCATTAATCTTTGCCTTGCGTTCCGTAGGAACGGATACGAAAATGCTTTGATTAGAAATATGCACAACGGTACAGATCATTCCCGCCTTCAAATTTCTCTTCACTTCCCTGAAGAAGGGGGCTCTCGGGTTTGAACCGAGGACCTCTCGATCTGCAGTCGAATGCTCTACCACTGAGTTATACTCCCGCTTCAGCGAACCTTTGCTTTCCGTAGGAACGGATACGAAAATGCTTTGTCTAGAAATATACAGAACGGGACAAATCATTCCCGCCTTCGAAATTCTCAAAAAATATTTCTCTTCACTCTCCTGAAGAAGGGGGCTGCTTGATTTGAACCGGGGATCTCTCGATTAGCAGTCGAATGATGTACCACTGAGCTATACCCCCCGTGTCTGTGAACTTTTGCTTTGCGCTGATTTGTGACGTCACTACTAGTAGGGAGAGATCGTCCTTCGCCTACGAAGCTTCTCTGATGCATTTGGATGAACACTTTTTGTTATTAAAATAAACATACTTACAGGAAATTAAAAAAGAAATAGTAAATTAATCTTTAAAATGTGTTTCATGTACATAAAACATAAGAGTATATATTAGTTTACCTATCTAATACCTAATTGTGCAAGTATATTATTATAGATGAATTTACTACGAATGCATTGCGATGAACATAAACACATTTATATATATTACATTGTAGCAAATTATAAGAGACTTTTGTATTCGTATATTTATTTTTAAAGTTATTCTTCTTTTTGGACGTTAGGGAAAAAGGATGAGGGTAAATTTTTACGATGCGCGTACACCGTAGTGAAATATTTTAACATGCCACTTTTTTGGTGCTATGGGACTGATCATAATAACTATCGTTATAAACCATACATTTGGGACGCATCCCCCCTCTACAGCTTTTTGGCCAATATCTCGGCACCAGAGCCTCACAGTCCATTAGGACCTGGCTCATTCAATCCCTCTCTATATGCTCTTCCAGTTATTATAAATTCATGCTCATAGGGCTATTTCTTCCATAGTTTTTAACTGTTTCAAACTTTTTAAATTTGCTTAAATTCACAATATCTTGGCTCCTGTTCGAGTCTCGGACTTGAGATTTGAACCAAGTGTTCCACTCGTCAAGACCCATCCAGTCATTTGCTTCATTCTCATTGTGTAGACATGGGGAGTATTTAAGATTGAAAATTGTCTCACAAATATTAAAAGTTGGAAAAGCTCTGATTTATGATAAACAACAACGATTAAATTAGAAAGTTATCGAGAATTCCTTGCATTTCAAATGAAAAATACACTCATGGACAAAAAAAAATTAGCCCACCAAGAAATAATTGCGGGATCGTAACGAAACTTGGCATGAAAGTACATGTTGGGGAGATATGTAAATGATTAGAAATGCAGCGTGATTGCGCATTACATATAGCTGGTAGAGGGCGTTCAACATCGTTCTCAGTGGAGTATAAAACAAGTAACCAAAGCTTGTGTGAGCGTGCTGAATCATTTACAAAGAAAGAGCTGAGGTAGACATTCCATTACACCGTTTTCGAAGACAATATGAGCAGCTATCGCATTTTGAGAGGGGGAGAATCATCGGCATCATGGAAGCTGGGTTCTCAGCTTGGAGAGTAGCTCGTCAATTAGGCCGCTCTGATTGTGTTGTGAGGAGGTGTTGGGACCAGTGGATCCGAGAGATGTCATTTACACGAAGACCAGGCTCAAGACGCCCTTGGCAAAATAGTCGTCGAGAAGACCACCACATCGTAAGAAATACACGCGTATAGCCAACTGCTTCATCGGCCGTCATCCAGGCACATGCAGCACCTTCACTAGGGAACCCTGTGTCTTCTCGGACCATACGAAGGTGACTGGCTGAAGGACAATTGGGATCACGGCACCCATTACGTGTGCTGCCCTTGACACCCACCCGGCGACGCCTCCGTTTGGAGTGGCGCCGTGCACGAGGAAACTGGACTGCAGCGGAATGGAACCAGGTCGTCTTTAGCGACAAATCCAGATTCAATCTCAGCAGTAATGACAATCGTGTTCGTGTGTGGAGACCCCGTGGTGAATGCCTCAATCCTGCCTTTGATTTACAGCGAGACACCGCTCCCACAGCTGGTGTGACGGCATGGGGTGCCTAGTATTGATCCGTGCCACCGTGACAGCCCAGCGGTATGTCCATGACATCCTGCAACCACATGTGTTGCCAGTCATGCCATAACTACCAGGAGCCATTTTTCAACAAGACAATACTCGGCCTCACATGGCAAAGGTGTCACAAGACTGTCTCGGCACTGTTACTACCCTTCCTTGACCTTCCCGATCCCCATATTTGTCTCCAATCGAGCATATCTAGGATCATTTGGGACGGCGAGTTGGGCATCCCACGAGTTTGAATGAACAAGAGGCAAGGTTACAGCAAAGATGGAACGAAATGTCTCAAGATATCATACAGAACTTTTATGCCTCAATGCCTTATCGTATTGCATCGTGCATTTGCGCTATATAGAGGAGGTTCAACAGGTTATTAAATCCTCCGTTCTTTTGCCTTTTCTCTGAAATAAATTATCCCTTTTTTCCTTTGATTTTCCAATCATCTACTTATATTAAAATAGTCATTACGTATGCAAAATTTTGTTTCATTTTGACGACTCATTCTTGGTGCGCTAATTCTTTTATCCATGAGTGCAAATAAAAATCCTAGATTTTGCCATTAATTAATAAACTTCTCGTTCTGTTATTAAAATTAAAATTAATAGTTCCGACATAATAATATGAAATACTATAAATATACTTAAAAAATAAAAATTGCTAATTAAATTAAGTAAGGAAAAGAGTTTTTATAACTTCGGTTTTCCAATATATCGACAGTTTGTAAGAAACAAAACTTGCAATCTTAGTGTTGTCACGAGTAATACTTTTCAAAAAAATAAATATTTTTGAAAAATTGAGAAAATAATATCCTATATTGCGCTGAGAATGTTGCAACAAGTGGCAAGAATTCATATCCATGTTCTTATGACTTCAAAGAGAATTCAATTTACGACTGCAGTTCATGCGAAACCCACTTGTCCACTTTTTTACTTTAAAAATTTGAAATAAATAAGTTATTATTGTTTGTTTGAGATGGATCATGCTCAGTGGTGACTTTTGTTTCATCATTATTGACCTTTAATTCTGAGCAACTGCATGACTCACCGATTTGATACTGTCAGCTGCGTGGTAACACAAAAGCAAAATACAATAGTATTGTTTCACGCAGTCTGCGATATTCGTTAAATAATAATTCGTTTTTCATAACAATGCGAAATCTCCTACTGTTCCCTTTTTAACAAAATTAACTTTAAAAAAAAAACCTTTTTAATATATTTTAAAGCTTTCTGTGATTTTTAAATAGACAGGATGTGTAATTTTCTGAAGAAAATGAACAAATAAAAAACAGAACAGTAAAATATTAAGCCAATATCAAATAATAAGCAGTTGAAGTTATATATATATATATATATATATATATATATATATATATATATATATATATATATATATATATATATATATATATATATATATATATATATATATAGCAGTGTTATTAACTACAAATCTCCTCCTTGCTAACCTTTTAGTCCTACATTTTCAAAAAGCACATATTTCCATACAAGTGTAAAAAAGATTTTATATTATACTATAAATCGTGGCAAATTTAATAAAAATCAAATAACAAAATTTTGAAATTTTAACGTCACGACTTTTTAGGATTTGTTAAAAAAAAAGTCTAATTAGCTTCATGCCCAAATCTTCCATTTAAAAATACCTACGAATCTGTTTTGCACGTCAGACTTTTCCCCCTTTAAATATATGGTATTTAATCGCTACTCGAAAAAAAAAGTGTGCACAAAAGATAATTTGCTCCATTTAGAATCTTATTCCTATTTCTTCGGAGCTTACCTCGTTTCTATCATTACACTCCCCTTCATAAAAATAAAAAAACTTGTGTCTAAAGCAGCTAACTAAATGTGATAAAACTCGTATATGCATACTGCAGGAGGAAAAATAAATATTTTTTCTTTCTTCTTCGATTGCCATATTCTAGAAAAGTTGCTTTTCTCTTGGCTAAATGACAAAAGAAAAAAAAAAAATTAAACGAAAAAATATTTCCTGCTAGCGTATGACCCTTATAATTTGTGGAAATGGAAAAATTTCGCTATTTTTATAATATTTTGTTTATTATTCGTTGCTAATGCCCCTTGTCTGACGTTGTGAGATCGAGGCCTATGAAATTCATCACGGCAAAAGGCTAGATGTATGCCTGTCGTTAGTAGTAGCTTTGAGCACCACACAAGTTGTGACGTCTCTCGCGTCTTTCTGCTAACATAACTCCTATGTTCTTTGACGGCCACGATTAATGGCAAAACTTTTCCAACCCAATACCAAGAAGATAAACAAAGATATTATGCAAATGAGATATACTATAAAAGGATAGA